GGGGGGGGGGGGGGGGGGGGGTTTGGACAACTTCATGCACAGCGTACGATGAAGTTTAACTGCTTACCCCCATGGCTGCGAAAACGATGGCGAAGTTCTCAGCACTGTAGTCCATCACATCCTTAGGCTTCTGCACGAGGCCGGCCTGACGACAGATCTGAGCAGCAATCTGGAAACGTGACAACATGGTTTAGATTGTTGAGAYGCCTCCTGACAGCAGTCTCTGTCCGTGTGATGAAGAGGAATCCTAAATATAAATCTGTTTAAWCAAAKCAAAATCTTRGACGACTGAAAGTTTGGAAGTAGTRGTTGTCAAAATTTGTTCACAATATTTTTTGGCCAAAATCCTAAAAGAATGGTCAAAGTTGATCATCTCCAACCTCCTATGTGGAAGAGATCTGACTAAAACTCTAAAAGGTAATTTCACMTTAGTGGAAATCTGTAAGAATATAAAAAATGTCCATAAAGTATCTGCAAATAAATACACGTTTGTCAAGCTAGAGACTTTCCACTGAGATCAACATCTCTCATCAGATCAGAGTCCAAACTGACCAAAAATTGAAGAAATAAAATCCTGAACCTTCAAACTAAAGGTTTTTACAGTAATACAGTCACACATCATTGACAGAAAAAGACAAATCATGTCCCACAGCGACAGAACTTTATCTTCTTAGTAACTTTTGTCAAAGAATGTTGACCTTTATAGCCTCTAGTACAAAAGGCATAAAATTACATGATACAGGGTTACATTCTTAAAGTACCAGAATCATGAAAAAACTTGAATAATGGATGCGATCCAGAAAAAGACCTACAGCCCATTTGGGTGGCATCGCAAAGCATTAAGAATCAAATAAAAGCACACCGTATACCGGGCACCTGACTGGCAGCACCTGGGGGGCCAGAAGCTTAAAACAAGTGTCAACAACAAAATAAGCCGTTTGTCAGAGAAGATTTAGCCACTTTTTCATGTGTGCAACCCGCATCTCATCCATAACTGCATGTTCCTTACAAATGTGGCATCATTTACAAAGGAAAATTAACAGGCGTTCCTGTGGTATAAGATTTATTGCCAAGAAGCGTCGTTACAACAAAGAAACAATCTACCAAACACAAATTTCCTTATTTTTTGTGCAAAGTACATTTGGCAAATTTTAAAATCCCTTAAAGTTTAACAACTGCTGAGATGTTGAGCAAAATCTTTCTGAAGGTGCGGAAAGGTCCCCAAGTGATGAAAAGAAGAGAACAAGGGGTTAGCTGTTTTTGGTTTCTAAACGTTCCCCCCTTCTTTTATTTGGCTGAAAATTATCAGGAACTGYTGGTCTGTCACTCAAGAAACCTCATTTGTGCTGAGGTGCTTCAGTAAACTGGATCAATCGATATTGTTTCACAAAATACAACAGAGTGGTCTCTGCAACCATTGTTTATTTCTCTTAGCTTTTCTCGGGATGATTTTGTAAAAAAAAAATTCTTGTGCCAAATTTGGTGCACTTAGAACAGAAAATTTGAAAAGGAAAAAAATCACACCACACACACACTGAAAATAACTGATCCTTCTCTCGAGTGTGGCCTGATCTTGTTTTAATTTCCACTCAGAGTCAATGAAGCTGTGAGAGTTGTGCAGCTGTGCATCACTAAAAAGCAGAAAACTGCAACTGGAACTGAAGCAAGGACAAAAACAAAGATTTTTTTGGTTGAAGTTCAGGGTTACAAAACTGAAGTTTAAATTTTGCACAAAGACCAAGAACTCATTGTTAATCTGAAGTATTTCTCAGATTTCAGTGTTGCTGTCATTTACATAAATGTAAGTTGTTTTAAAAAACTGTGGCACTTAGTGAACTTTGCCCAAATGTTTTTACTTAACAAATACTATTCGGGCATATGTTAACTAGAAACGAGTCATAAAGAAAAGATGACAAGTATTATTCATACTGAGATAAAACATAGAGAAGAGGAAAAAAACTGTTATGTTGAGCAATGACTCAATGACTGATTTTTTACTTTTTCATCATGAGTGCACTACTAAAAAAAACCTAAAYAAAGTTGAAACTAAACATTTAAACTAAAAGTGACGTTTATGTCAATCCAGGTGAGCTCCTATCATAATGGTCAGATTATAAACTTCAGTTAAACTCAAAATAAATTTAAAAAACTGCCAAGTCCAGGTTTAAAAGTCATTTCGAGGTTTGGACATTATGCCAGTAATAAAAAAAAGAAATGAGAACAAGCCCTTGTGAGAGTGGTAAAATCATTTTCTGGTCATACTGAAGTTGAGTTTTGTGGGAAAATTATGCCATATTAAAAAAATAAAATAAAATGTTGGCAAATTATTATTTTACCAGCTGTAAAAGGCTATTTGAAAAACCTCAGTTTGGAGAAATAAGAGTTTATGTTCAACAGGCATGACAAGCTAACAGCTAGTCTGAACGTAGCCAAGACCGAAGCGATTGCTGCTGTATAAAAACTGATTTTTACTAAAACTGCTACAAAATTTTGAAAACTGAAATTTTTTAAGGGTGCTGTGATCCATTACAAAAGCAGATTCCTGTRGTCTTAGAAACAACTCCAGACTTGAAAGTACTTCCATTCCTGAGGTGAAGAACTGGAGAATAAGATGGAAAGAAAGGAAGAAGAAGTTGTGTGTGGATCTCACCTCATTGTGGGGCAACCCAGCAGCAGAGAAAATGGGGATCTTCTGTCCTCTGGCGATGCTGTTCATTCCATCAATGGCTGAGATGCCGGTCTGAATCATCTCCTCAGGGTAGATACGGCACTGAGGGTTAATGGGTTGACCTGGAAAGTACAACGTCAGATTTTTTACTTACAGTTAGTTAACTGTTACATTTTAGTAAAGGTTGCACTAACTCTAAAAATATTTTCTAGGATTCTCTCATCATAATCTTATGATCTACAGCAATTTAATAAATGTTCAAGGACTACAGCTCACATTAGATACATGGCTGGCAGAAATGCCGTTTCCAATTTTTCCAGAAAAACATGTGGCTTTTTTAAAAGACAAATCCACGGCGCTGCAAACGTAAACCTGATATTAATTGGCCAAGCAACTATTCTATAAAGACAAGATGAACAATCTGATGCAGGCTTAGTTTATCAAATGCTGATTTTGAGTGAAACTGTAGCTTGTCTGCCAGTGTTGGGTTGTTTGTTACACAACTGTGCTAGATTCCTCTGATTCAAAGGTTTTTCTCAGAGTGGAGGTTTTAGGTAGACCACCTCCTGGAGAGGTGTGAAATTGCATGTGCACTCTATCTGCAGCTGCAGTCAATAATTGTTCTGCGCTTGTATGAGCAGACGGACAACAGCAAGCAACAGTGGATAACAAAGTTTTGCTTGTCCTAGACTTGGGCGGTACGACAGTACTGTGGTATACCTTGGTATTGAAATGTGACTGTATTTAAATATTATAATGGTATTGTAACCCTTTTGAGCCTAGTCACATGGCCTATTTAAATTGCTCTAATCGGAAAGATACGCCTTCTGAGACTTTTAATTTAGGTTAAAATAGAGACTTCAAAATTTACACCAGTTTTTAAATTGTGTTGATATGATAGTTTGGTTGGACCTTTGAAGCAAACAGGGTGGGAACCACTGTTGTACAGGAACATGTAGCAAACTCAAAATTTCCAACAAGCCAATATATGCCCCAAGAATCTAGACCAGTAGTTCCCAAAGTTGGGGTCGGGACCCAAAGTGGGGTCCTGAAACATCAAGGTGGGGTCCTGAAAAGATTTTCTAAATTAATTACATTTTTGCCATAGTTGCCTAAAATGTATAAATGTAGAATAATAAATATTGTTACTATGCCCATGTTTAGTTGACCTGATACAAATGTTTATCATCCAAAAATAGTTGTGGACACAGGTCTCTGCTACAGTTATTTTGTGGGTCAAAAGCTGAAAAATTTGGGAACCACTGCACTTCAGAAATCAATTTAAAGGGTAATAAAATAACTGGTGATGTAATATTTTCCTTATAATTATTACAAAAACACAAAAATGTATAAAAAGTATTTATATTTGTGTAGCCTTTGTTTTTAGGGTTATTAACAAAGTTTGTGTGCTCAGATCAGTAATATTTGGGGGTCACGTTTTTTCCATGAATATTTTGTGGGTCAGAAGATAAAAAGTTTGGGAACCACTGATCTAGACCACTCAAAGAAGGCACCCCTTGCTCTGACCACAGCTGTGCACACTCTTCGATCCTCCTTCAAGACTGTTGGAGAACCTTTCCAGGTGATTGCAGCACCTCATGAAGCAGAGTGAGCATGGCTGTAATAAAAACAAAAGGTGCCGCCTTGAACAATCCAAAATATATTCTGGTTTGTTCARCACCTCCAAGTTCACTTCATAGCTCCTTCTGTGTTCCTTCATAGTCTGGATGACCCCAGTACCAACCCACAATATAGGAATAAAAGAAAAACATACACTTTGAATGAGAAAGTGTGTCCAAATGTTTGACTGGTACACATTTCATCTTACTACCTGCCCACTCCAAGTAAGAGCTCACTCAGCTCAATTTATAGTTTGGGGCAAAATACARTAATTTTAAACTGACAGTACAATGGTTTTTCATTTCCTATCTGGGAACACTGCCTAACATGGAAACTAGTGGATCAATATAAATATATTTATGATAGCTGTATTCAGATTGTCAGATTAACTGTTATTACAATAAACATTTTCTCATTTTTATTCATTGAGATTTTCCTGAAACTGTTGAAGACTCAGTGCAAAAAATCTGTCTTGTTTTGTTGAAACTAAGTTTAAATGCAGGTTCATGGTAAATTTTACAAGGGGTTAAAAAAGCACCTTAGAAGACAACAACAACAAAAAGACAAAAGGTTAAAGAGGTTGTACCCATGATGTCCAAGTAGTCCTCAGCCAGAACGGTGGGGCCGCGGTCAATGGGTTTGCCAGAACCATTGAACACCCGCCCTGAAAGGAAGAAGTTCCCCTTAGAGCCAAGATTTAATCAAGTCTTCAATTGGATAAATAACTGATTTATTTATGTAGCAGCTGAATTCAAAGACAATATAAAAACATCAACAAAATGAAATTTATTAGATGACACTCCCCAGCACATCTGATCGGTTCTGTTGTTTTGTCAAACTCCTAACAGACACTGTAAGTGCAGCTCTGATGGCTCTTGTCGAGGCTACAAGCAGCAAGTACAAATAATTATAAATTCAGGGACACGATTAATGACACTTCAAAAACAAAAGCAGGTTTACTTTCTGCTAGTACTCAAATGTATTTAACCTTGTGCAGCACTGAGATAATCACATTGATTGAGGCATTCAAGAACATTCAAATAAAAGCTTTGATTTATTTATTTTTTTCCTAATTTAATGTTTTACTGAGGATWGAGAAAATATGAGTTAAATTAGCACAGAGAAGGCCAAACCCTATTTAGCTCTCAAACATTCATCTTTGTATCAAAAAATAAGACGGTTAAATGGGAGTTGTGCAGCAGTAAATTAAGTCTGAATTGTGCGGAAAGTCGTTTCGAAGAGATTGGTTAGTGTAACAACAACATTTACAAATAATTCAGATAGTCGTACCCAACATGTCCTCTGACACCGGGGTTCGCAGGATGTCTCCAGTGAACTCACAGGCCGTCTTCTTTGCATCAATGCCAGATGTTCCCTCAAACACCTGAAGTAGAACAGAGGCAGGAAATAAAGCTGGGTGAAACTAATTTAAGGCATTCCTGAAAATATGCCAGAGTCATGAAAAAATAGAAGTCCACCCTGTTTCAATGCTAGGATTCTGAGAGAGTGAGAGTGAGAGAGAGAGAGAGAGAGAGAGAGAGAGAGAGAGA